AAAGAAGCACATTTTTACAATCCATGAGGTTTTTATTGCTGCTCGTTCATCAATTTAGAAGTTATTACAATAATTTAAAACATCCACAACACAATATAATCCATAAAATCAGTTGTATAAAATAGGTGATAGTTACTTTCAATCATAGCAGGTAAATAGAACATCTACAGAATCAAGAACAAAACTATTAGAATTAGTTCAAAGGAAAATTATACTTTAAAAAATCTTTGAAAAGCAGAAACTTCACACTTCTAGATAAGTTTCATATTTCTTCAATACATTATTAAGACAAAGGCTTTTTACCAAGTTAAAGCAGGTTCAAACTGATCAGAAAAAATAACATATAACATAACATAACAATAGCAGGGCTGATTAATGCATTGCTAATGAAAGCCAACAAGACACTGAATTAGCTAAACTCTGATCATTTACAGCTAACCTCTTAGAAAATAATCCAAAAACATCAGCTAAACTGAGTAAAGCACATTAATTGGTTCGTACCATTGCCTTTATTTTCATCTGAGGATATTTTCATCTATTTTAAAGTCTGTTTCTGGAATATATCCAACATATAGCTTATCATTCAGCTAAAAGTTTCTTAAAAATAAAAATTATGAGTTTTTTTTCTGAATAAATTCATTCAGAAAAAGTTGTGCCACACCATACCAAAATGGCACAGTAGGGGTTGGTATGGATGTTTTTCAATTCAAACATCTAGAACTTCTCAAGTGCTTGTTTTATGGACAGCAAACTTGCTTAATTTGTAACCAAGATGTTATCATTGCTCTTTATTCCCTTAATTACAGAAAATGATTAAATTGTGAATGTAAACATTTTTTTTTGGTTAGCACAATTCTTTTTTGGCCCTTTAAATCCAATTTACTCAGGCCCAAAATAATTAACTTTAAAATTTTCACATCCAGATATTCACCCAGGACCTGAATATTAACCAGGTTTAATTTAATTCAATTCAATTCAGTTTATTTATATAGCACTAATTCACAACACAAGTCATCTCAAGGCACTTTACAGTTCACCAGATCATACACTTAATACAATATACAATATAAAACTTTATCTGTTCCAGTTTCTATGTAAACAGAGCTGTTAATTAATGGCTTTCTCAAAACTTAGCTGAAAAAGGACCATTAACCCGTGAGTTTCTCATGTAATGAGGTGAAGGAGTTTCTAGACGGACATTTTATCACCAGTCAAACATGGAAAACACCTCTAATGTTCATACCAGTGGTGTCTAACTGCTGCAACTTATGTGAAACAAATGTAAAAAAAAAAAAAAAAAAAATCATTCCACATCATGCATGAATAAATGTCATCTCAATATTCAAATTACCTTCTCGTTTAGAACCTTTTTCACAAATCATTTAAGAGAGTAGCTTCTGACCTGTGTGATTTCTAACGTGTTTAGTCAAATTACATTTAAGAGTAAAATTCTTGTTACAAATGGTACAAGAAAAAGGCTTCTCACCTGTGTGAGTTCTGATGTGTTTATCAAGATCACACTTCGAGCGTAAGCTTTTCCCACAGTAAAGACATAAAAAGGGAGTCTCACCTGTGTGAATTCTCATGTGAGTAGTCAAATTACTTTTTTCAGTAAAGTTCTTGTTACAAATTGTACAGGAAAAAGGTTTCTCGCCTGTGTGAATTCTGATGTGTGTATCAAGATTATATTTCTGAGTGAAGGTTTTCCCACAGGACGAACATTCAAAAGGCCTCTCACCGGTGTGAATTCTCATGTGCTTAGTCAAACTACTTTTCTCAGTAAAGTTCTTGTTACAGATGGTACAGCAAAAAGGCTTCTCACCTGTGTGAATTCTGGTGTGTTTATCAAGATTATTTTTCTTAATGAAGCTTTTTCCACAGGACAGACATTCAAAAGGCTTCTCACCTGTGTGAATTCTAATGTGATTATTAAGATCAGACTTAAAGGTGAAGCTTTTTCCACAGGACAGACATTCAAAAGGCTTCTCACCAGAGTGAATTCTCATGTGTTTAGTCAAACCATTTTTTTCAGTAAAATCTTTGTTACAAATGGTACAGGAAAAAGGTTTTTCACCTGTGTGAGTTTTGATGTGATTATTAAGATCAAACCTAAAGGTGAAGCTTTTTCCACAGGAAAGACATTGAAAAGGCTTCTCACCGGAGTAAATTCTCATGTGTTTAGCCAAACTACTTTTATCAGTAAAATTCTTGTTACAAATTGTACAGAAAAAAGGCTTCTCACCTGTGTGAGTTCTGATGTGTTTATCAAGACTAGATTTCATTGTAAACATTTTTCCACAGGACAGACATTCAAAAGGCTTCTCACCAGAGTGAATTTTTATGTGTTGGGTCAAATTACTCTTTTCGGTAAAATTCTTGTTACAAATGGTGCAGGAAAATGGCTTCTCACCTGTGTGAGTTCTGATGTGGTTATTAAGTTTAGATTTCTGAGTGAACGTTTTTCCACAAGACAGACATTCATAAATCTTCTGACCTGTGTGAGTGTGAACAATGAAATGTTCTTTTTTTAGAAAGTTTTCTCCCCATGTTAAGCATAGGGAAGGTTGCTCTCCTAAATCTTCAGTCTCTTGCTTCACAACAGGGTGGTCATCATGCTCACTTTTGGGGAGCTCCATGGTTTCCTCTTCTTTCCAGGGATGTTCTGGGTTTTGCTGCTCTTCTTTTATCTGCAAAGCTTCTGGTTCCTCCTCTTTTCCAACATAATCCTGCAGGCGGTCTGGAAAGACAAACACAGCA